CACTTCGGGAGCTATCTTATGATGGTTAACTTCATGTTTAGGAGTGGCTGCACCTAACACTCTCAGAGCCCGCAGGTGTGAAAACAGGTTTCAAATTTTAGGGGGAATTGCATCTGTCCGTTTACCATCATAAAGAGGATTGACGAAGTAATAGGATTCCTCTGAAGAAAGAGCGAAACGGACCGTTTCAGATATTTATAATAGTTCGTGGAGGTATATCTTTGTCCAGTGGCAAAAAGCATTTCAGCTGTAGTGTCTGAGTGGAACTGGCTAATGATAGATCGAGATATGAAATCTCAGGAAATCCTCTTGTTTACCCCGAAGATTAGCTCCAATGTAATAACATGGGTCGAGGCCTCGAGCTTAGTGTGCCATAACTTCCTCTTAGGGTGAGGAAACAAGGTTGAATAGGAATAGTTAAAGTTACCTCCATTATAAGTTGCACCTAAAAAAATCGGGCAACCTTTTTGTGTGTTTTTCCAAAACAGAGTAGTCATGAGTGTTTCATATAGGTTCGTGGGTTGAATTTTACCCTTAACAAATCGCAGTGTCCTCACTTATGAGGTCACAGCATCATTACCCCTGGAAGTGATATCCGAAAAACGTGAGACCACAATATTACGAATGAACTGAAGTCCTCAATTCCAGTTGTATAAGACATAGAAGGAATGGCCTCCAGCACGGCATCCAACAATCAACCGGGATCTCCCCAAATATCCTAATTTTCCCCCATTTATCATCCGTGATGATGATAAGCAAATATCCGCGACGGAAGAAAGTGAAAATATCACAAGCCGGGTTTGTACCGGAAACAAGAAATAACCCGAACTCATGCATAATGTTCAACCTACCTTTTGGTGTTCGTTTCGTGAATTCCGGATCAAAATATAACGTGCTATCGATGGTTGTTACGGCTGGCTTGAACGGTGGGGAAATCTCCTTGTTCAGCAATCGATCAAAATTGATTGACGCAAAGAAAGGATGTCGCTTAATCTCCTGAACAAGACCGATTGGTAGGAAAGGTAGACAAAAAATGGGAAAGGAACCAAAAACAAGGCCAAAGAACACACCTCGATTCCCTCTGGACCGGCGCCAAGTCGATTCACTGCGTTCCGCTTGAAGAGAGCTCGAAGCAACGACTGCGCTTCTGGGGACAGAAACTGCGGCATTGTTAGTTTCGCCCTGAAAATATGACTTTGAAAATAAACAAAATAAACAGGCTCAAGCGAGTAGAGCAGAAATCATGAGATGCTCCAGGAAATTTCATGGAATGTTTGCTCCGAAGTGTACGTTTCTAGAGGGAACCGCTCTCCGGCACCAAAAAATTACTTCTCAGAGGAAACCAGCGCACTACCTCTAAGCTGGTGAGGGTCAAAGTGACCAAGCGACGATGACCATGTAGAAATAGACTTATAATTTGGAACCGTAATTATATCGAGAACTCCTTCCATTCGCCCTCGCGAGCGATTTTCGAAAGCAGCTTCTGTCTACAAATACTATCGCGACTGATTCGCGACTCCTTACATTTTTTCTCAGACACTCTGTATAAAATAACAAAAATTGAACACGTCTATCAGCTTAGAGAAATTACGGCGGGGGAAGAGAGCGTAAAAGCGCTCAGGAAAAATATCTAAGTTGGCCGATTAAGGCTAAAGCCAGATTCTGCCTTGTGATTCTCACTATGTGTTTCGCAGTTCACGTCCGCCTGCTGTATCTCTGAGCCTTCATTCGGTTCGAATCTGATGGTTACAGTACTCCTTGCTCCACTTTTGTCAATAAAGGTTGTGAAGGTTAACCATTGGAACTCAATGAACCACCATCGAATAAGTAATCGCCTTGTATTCATAAATCTCTCGCGAGATGCCGTCAAAAATCCCATCAACCGTAGGTGGATGTTTGGTAGGCGTCTTGACGATCCTCTCATATGAAAATTCAATAAACGCCCTCCCAAAAGTGTCGCTATTCCTTATTCCTTCGAAAGGGAGCTTGTCTGAGAGAATGGCCACGCTTTAGGCGGTTCTCTTACCTATCGAGAAGACAACACCGTGAGGAAATCTTTTGCTCACCCTTTCGGAATATTCGGATAGATTATGAACGCATTTCCCAATCTCGTGCCGCCAATGTCTTTCAGAGGGGATTTAAGGCCCTCAGCCCAACTAGCCATTCATCTCAAACTCCTTTCCCTCGCGAACGCTCAAACTTTAGTCGCTGGAAATAGCGGAGCACACGCACATAATTCACACCTACCCTGTTCGTCATGGAAACGCGCGTTCGGCGCTGCACAAAGTAGCTACGAGAGCAAAGCAGAGAGCTGCTGCTGAGGTTTGGCGTGAAATTAGCCGTGATTGGAGTTTGCAATAAGTGCTCGAGCGCCGAGGCTGGCCATCTCCATGGATGACATCATTGCTCGTTATTTGAGAAGAGCGCCATGGTGCTATCTGACACGGAACCGACACCTCGACATTCCCAAACGGCCGGCAGCTTAGCAACGATGGTTCTCGGATTTCGGCAGCAACATTCCAGTCTCTTACCGGACAACTGTCCTAAACGAAAAGAAGAAGCTCCTCGAAGAACTCACTTCAAAATCTGCGTCATCGTATCCTTCCGATCGTGGCCTTGAAAGGGCAAGTGTCCGGTGAGCATTTCGAACTGCAACAAAATGGATTGGAAAAAATTTGAGACATTAATTGAAACATTGTACCGTTCGCTTAGAATAAGTAACCTTCACTTAGGCTTAACTTTGTTCTTTTCCTGTGCACCTGCGAAGAATTGAAAGCCGGCGATTTTTCAGTTGCTAATTTATGCTTCTCAGGCGCAATACACAGCACTTGCCACGAAAATGACGTCACAGCCTTCAGGGCCGAGCAACCCCCGTCGTTACTGCGGCGACGCCAAACGACCACAATATGTACGTGGATATCCAAACAAAGA